AGCAGCTACCACATACTTCTAGCAAAAAGGACTTAGGTATTGTTGTTCAGGAGGATTTAAGCTGCTCCAACAACTGTGCTAAGGCTTCGTCTGCTGCCATGAAGAATGTCGGATTACTTCGGCGAGTCTTGACCGGTTTGAATCATCACTATTCCCACGTTTTCTATCAGCGTACATTCGACCCTATACAGAGTACGCCATCCAAGCTTGGAGTCCATGGCTTCAACGTGATCGCAAGATGCTTGAGCGTCCACAAAGGATGGTTACCAAGATGGTCAAGGGATTCCCTTACCTGACCAACGAGGACAGATTGTGATCATTGGGACTATATGCTGCTCAGTACAGCCGAACTCGAGGCGACTTGATTTTGACGTATCAAATGCTGAAGAACCCAAACCATCCGTGTCGATCGCTTCTCATGTTATCGAACAATGTACACCTAAGGGGACACCGTTTCAAACTACTGATTCCAAAGTCTCGAATGGATTGCCGGCGCCAGTCTTTTACGGTCAGAGTATGCAAATCTTGGAACGCCCTTCCATCTCCTATCGTTTGTGCACCCACTATTGAATCTTTTAAGCAGAGACTCGACAAAACATTAGCACACCTCACATTTGTACACTAAAGGCAAACGGAAATTCACTGTAGCCTACATTCTCTATCTCCTACCCGGATCCCTGTATGACTCCTTTTTTGATGTGTGACGAATCGTCTATGTAAACATCCTAATGGGACAAGAGAAGCACCAGCTTGTAAGCTATTCCCATAATAAAACTTTGACTAACTTTGACTTTGGCAATCAAATACAGAGAAAGAAATGACAAAGTTTCCGGTGAACAGCAAACTAAGTCGAAAGACAATCGCTCACGAACCAATAAAATTGATCATTTTTTACCGTGATCCCCAAACTGTTTAATGGATTCCGAAACATTGCTGCTTATGTAGCTGTTTAATTAACTGGGGACATCTCATGGCAACTACAGACATATTGCTTCAATCGGAATCCATGTTCATTAAATAAAATGAGATACGTGTTCCAAGCTTTCACGGCAAATACAAGAACCTAGTTCTAAATGCTACATTCTTGAACACTATGCTAAAACCCTACTCCGGGTCCATGTTTTCTGAGATAACTCCGTCTAGCAGAGTAATGATGAAAATCCGTTCGGTTTCTCTATACAGTACAGTATTATCTCATCACAAAAAATTAAAGAACCTAGTTTCAGAAGTTTTCAAGAAGTTGCAAAAAAGGGGGTTGGGTTTCACAGCGTTTCGTGCAGGATAGTATCTATTCAAAGCTATGCATGGTCAAGAGTTAACTGTGGTGGAATGTTTCACATACTTAGGTTGCTGCGTTACAAATGACAGTGGCATAGTCAATGAAGTGACCGCCCGCATTTCCAAGGCTTGAGCAGCTTACGCACGACTGAAACACCTGTGGTGCGATATTTCGTTGAAACTGAAAGGTCGTGTATACTGCACTAGTGTGCGGTCAGTTCTGCTCCATGGTTGCGAGACCTTAAATTTGCACGTGGATGATATTCGTCGTCTAGACGTCTTCGACTGCTGATGTTTACGTAGTTTGGCGCGGGTTGGATGGAGCGAGCGTATAAGCAAATCTGAGGTAAGTCGTCGCGTATTTGGTAATCATTCGATGGAGAATTCGTTGTCCCATCAAATTCAGATTAGTCGGTTTCGCTGGTTAGGACACGTATCACGCCTGCCTAGCCATCGTCTGCCACAACGCGCCTTATTCGCAGTTGCGGCTCTAGGTTGGAAGAAACCGCGTGGTGGTCAACAGATGACGTGGAAGCGAGGCATGAAGAAATGCACACAGCAATCAGGTAGAATCGGTGTCTCACGACTTCCAGGTTGGGGTCCGAAAGACTGCAACTGGCTGGTTGGAGACACTGAAGGATATGGTAGCGAACCGACAGCAGTGGCGTTCTTGTTGTCATTTCTTATCAGGTCCGAATGCTTGAAAAAACGTGTGTGTGCACACTTGGATTGTGTGCTCTGTGTGTTGAACATAGAGGTCCTTTTTCTTTGTCTTCCTCCAAGTAGGCCCAATCCCTCTCCATCTTGTGTTTTATCACTTGATTTGTGTACATTGTGAGCTTGGCAGCGATCAATGCAGATCGCTTCACTGTATCTCGCTGTACGATGAGGATGAGGATGATGCTGATGATGATGATGCAATTAATCACCAGATTCGAAACACATTTTATTTCCTGATTATGAGAAACATGCGAAAAATACTCTGGCACAAGTTAATCAGTTCCAGTGTAGCTTGGTATTGTAGTTCCGGGGTACACACATTACCTTTTTTGCCCGGTATTTTCATTTTGATCGCATTGTTATATATCCTGGTGGAATACAGGTTTCTCCCATAATTTGGTTGTCATTTGTGTAATTCGTAATTCACAATCATGCCAGTTTCCTTCACGCCTCCACTCAAGGAAAAACGCAGTGTCCTAAGGCATTAAGATACTTCTGTGTAAGCGCCCCCCCCCGCTCTCTGCACCTCAAAATGCGAGCTTGATGACGCAAAAGTTGATATCGATCTGTGAATAGCATTGATGTTTCGGAATCTTCAACGGGCATGGACATAAGATTAGTCGTTAGGACCGGAAATGGTACTACTAATTCCATTTGGATTAATTTATCACACTAACAGGTAA